AAAATCATGAATCATGATTCCGAATTCATGAACCAAACGTCTCAGTAGAGCTTGAATTTCTTACTTTAAATTATATATATATATATATATATATATATATACACACACACCGTGTTTTTTGTGATATTAATAAGTAGTTTCGTAGAAATTAAAATTTCAAATTAGCAGCCAATAGAAATCTTTATCTACAAGACATGGTAGCATATGAGAGAGCCAGATAGGTTTTTCTTTTTCTTTTTGCAAAGAACAACAGATCAGCTTTGATTTTCAATTCAAATTTGCATTCAGATAATTTAAGAACAGCAAGAACAATCTGCTATAAAATTTCCCCTTAAAACAAAAAGAAATTAGATGGAGGAAAAAAGAAAAGTAAGAAGAGAATGACAATTCTTAAGGTTACTATAATTGTATGAATTTTTTTTCCCAAATTCGTATTATATATCTTTATATATATATATATATATATATAGTTAGGATTCGTATCATATTGCTAATAAAAAATATTAAAAAAAAATTTCTGCCTAAGAACCCACATAGAGTACTTGTTTTGCATTTTATTTATAAAACGTAAAGTTCCCTAGATTTGATTCCCTTTTCGTTAGATTCTTCTTTTATACTTTCCAATGTTGGTTGTGCAACCATCAATGTTGGATTTTTTTTTTTCTCTTAGTACTAAAATTACGACAATTTATTATGTTGTAGACATAGGCTTATCATAAATTCACACCCGACTCCGTTTTAATGTGTAAAACAGCACCTTAAATTTTTTTAAAAAAAAAAAAAAAAAAAAAGAACCAACCCTTCACAGACATATTTTCTCAAATAATAATAATAATAATAATAATAATAATAATAATAATAATAATAATACGTAAAAATGCTTATTAATTGTCAACATAATGTGTGACACAACAACCAGTTTTGAAGTATCACCCAAATACGTACTAGTAGGGCCGGTAATTTTAGATACGATACGAAAATGACACGAGATAAATGGGTTTAGACCGCACAATTATTAATTGGGTCATTAACGGGCTGACACGAATAACACGAAAATAAATGGGATGGATTCGTGCCAGCCCGTTTAACACGCTTAACCCGTTTAGTTATACGGGCCATTATCAGCCCGACCCGTTTATTAAGCCTATATATATTAGACAAAACCCTACTTCTGACTCAATCTTTGGAAACAAATTTTAGTTTTTAGAATGTAGTTGGGCATTCAACCTCAAGGCTCGAAGAAGACATTTTTCTATATTTATTTTATGTTTTATACACTTAAACATTCAAATGTTTGGTTATGTTTTCAAACTTATTTAAATGTACTTGGTTATGTTTTCAAACTTCTTGGATGTTTGGTAATTGATATGTTTTGAAACATATATACTTGATAATCTAGTAGTATCATATATATATATATATAAAAAAAAATATATATATGTGTGTGTGTGTGTGTGTGTGTGTGTGTGTGTTTGATATTTAGATATTTTAATGTGTGTTGGCTATTATGCATGATTTTAAATATAAGTGATATTAAGTAGTCAATTAATATAGTTTTGAATACAATATAAAATTTCACTATTTTTGCTAGTTGGGTCATAAACGGGTCATTAACGTGTTTTTTTCGTGTCGGCCCGTCACGGCACGTTTAGTAATTATGTTCGCGTATCGTGTCATATTAACCGTGTTATTAGCGTTTCGTGTTTGGGTTTTTGACACGTTTATTAATCGTGTCGTGTTCGTGTTCATTATAATCGTGTCATGTTATAATCGTGCCGGCCCGAACACGACACGGAAACACAAATTACCAACCTTACATACTAGATCAAGTGAATACAAAAATTAATAAAGAGAATTACAGAAAGAGTGAATCTAATATTTATCTTTAAATTAACTAAGTTTATTCTAATGAGAAAAAAGGTAAAAGATATATAATATGTAATAATATGCATCAAATATGTGCTTATCCAAATTCAAAGCCAGAAACGTCAAAATAGTAATTAGCCAACTTTTATACCTAAAACGACTCTAGGCCTAAGCAAATTATGCAACTCCTTAAACCATCATTTATTAAATTGGCTTTTTTGTTTTGGGCACAGTATTTCCCACTTCATAAACTTTTGCTTTGCGGCTGCAGCGACAACTTTGTAATTGAAATTAAAATTGCTCTCTTTTTATTATATTGTTCGAAAATAATTGTGCCTTACATTTATTATGTTGCTGTATTTTGAGTCGGCATTATGTTCATAGTCATACACTTCCGACCAAACCAAAGATTTTAGAACAAAAAAACAAATCGTGGTAAAAGTCCAACTGAAAAGAAATGTAAATTTAAGGCTACGAATTCACACTTTTTTTTTTTTTTGGGTAGAATAAGAATTCATACTTGGGTATCACCGATTTGAAATAACTCGGCCGCCATAACCGCAAATTGCGCTGCCTCGTGTATGTGTGGGGGCACAAATAATGCCATGCTACCATTACATATAATTCTAGAATACCATAACGAGTATAAAATAAAATAAAAAATTAAAAGAAAAGTACCAAATATTCCTAATAGTCTTAATTTAGTCAATAATGGCAAGTGATTAATGATAATAGTAACGCATAGCAAATTTTCATTGAAAATAACTTATACAATTAAGTACACTAGGTTATTTGGCAACACAAGAGTCTTGAGGCAAAACTAACTTCTCCGCTAATTTCACTAGCAGAAATATCTCAACAAAAATAAACAAATACTAAAGCCTAAAATAGGATAACATAAAACAAAAAAACAAAATATTTTTTTTCATTATTATTTTTTTTTTGTCGCATTGATTTTTGCTGCAGCCTGAACAAAATCTGCCGAGAAATCGGCAAGCCAACGGCGGCAACACTCGGTCCAATGACAGTGCTCAGTCCTTGCTCAGAGGACCACAAGAGGATCGGAACCGAACAAAATATCTTGAAACAGATCGTCCCCTTGCCACGCCGCCGACGGCAACGGCGGCGACGACGTCTCAAACGAGTCCAGAAACATGTCGCTGAAATCCTCCTTCAGTACGCTCTCCGGTAAGGATGTAATCGCCGAAACGTCGTCGTTTTCGTCAAAGAGGAACGACGGCTCGAACAGCGTCTCCGATTCCGGCGATTCGAACTTGAAAACGTCGTCGTCGAACGACGGGAAGTCAAGAGGCCAGTACTCTCCCAAATCATCTGCGATACTCGTCTCGCCTTGACATTCTTCGACTATCATTACTTGTTTCGGTGCTTTCAGTAATAGAGGTTGACAGACCTCGGCCTCTAACGGCTCCACCGGCTTCTGCGGCGCCTCGGCTTCTTCAGTTGAATGAGTCCTGAAGTGAAGCACCGACGTCGGAGACGAGAGATTCCGCGACTCATCGCCGGAATCGTAGCCGGAGACGGAGGCGGATGCAGAAGAGGCCTTGTTCTCCTCCGGCAACTCCGGATTCTGATCCTTCTGAAACGGCGTGACGAAGTTCGTGAGCGCGTCGGGGCCGCGAAGCTTAATCGCGGCGTTGTCGTACACCATCGCTGCCTCCTCCGCCGTGTCGTACGTCCCCAGCCACAACCTCACGCGCCTCGCCGGATCTCTAATCTCCGCCGCCCATTTTCCCCACGGCCGCTGCCGCACGCCGCGGAACTTCCTCCCGTTCGTCGTCGTGGTCTTGATCGGCCTCCGATGCGCCGGCGCCTCCACCGCCGGTCTCTTCCGAGCATTAACTGCGGCGATTCTCGGCTTACAACTCGTCTCAATCTTAATCTCATTGACATATCTCTTCACCCGCTGACGGCTGAAAATAAACTCACCCTCGTCTTCTTCGTCGTCCGACGAGTCGGTGGCGTAAGGGTCCATAACGGATATCCTCACGACTCTCGGCACGGCGGGGCTAAACTCCGCCGACGACGACGATGACGGCGAACACAACGACTTCCTCGACTGTTTCCTCACCTTCTTCGTGACGCTCCGATGCTCCGTGTATTTTATCGGACATAGAATACTCTGCTCCATCATTCAATTTTTTTCTCTTCAGATTCTCATAGGAATAGAGAAAGGGCAAAAAAGCGAAAGAAAACCGTAACAATCAAGCTTAGTAACAGTGATACAAAGAAAATCACTCTTTTGGACTGAGATGAGGAGCACCCAAAAGGCTGAAGAAGCCAGTACAGGGAAAAAGGGAAATTACAGAAGCGACATTTCAGAGTTTCTCTCTCCTTTATGAAGGAAGTCACAGGCGCAGAAAAGGAAAAAAAAAAAACCCAAGCGGAAAAGGAAAATGAGTAATTGACACAGTACTAGTACTACTCCCACTGCTTTCTTCCTTGCCAGCGAAAAAAATGTCTGTAGGAGAGAGAGTGTTTCAATGAAGAGAAGAAACTCTCTCTAGAGATTAGAGAGAGAAAGAGTAGAGTGGTGAGTTTGAAGAGATAGAGAGAGAAGTGAGAAGCAGAGAGAGTTCAGATGGTGCTAATGGTGCGACCAAAACGCTGGAATCGCAGTTTTATAGGATCCCCAACAGCCGAAATAAGAAAAACTCGGAAGACAAAAGCATTATTATAATGTTCCAACCTTTATTAGTTTCTTTTTCTTTTTTTTTTCCTTAAAACGGGTAACTTTAATTACTTAAAAGATTTTTTTTTTTTAAATTGAAAAATAAAATATCTTTTAGTTTTAAATGGGGATGGGTTAATTTTAAAGCAAGTCATATCAAGAGCCGGTCGGGGTCGGTCCGAAGATCCCGGTGACAGCCGCGGAGATGAAATAACGAAAACACGACCCGCCGCATCTCAGTGATGCTCTAGGATCTTGCCACGTGTAATATGTGGGCCCAAGGAGAGTTTGGCCCAATGGAGAGAGACCATCATAAGGCGCTGGGTCAGCGTCTGATTTATCTTGAACTCCGTGATGGGATGTCACGTGAGGCCCAAGATACCCGGCCCCCTGGTTAATTAGTCGGTCAAATTATTTGACCAACTAGAAAAGGTCCACTTGTGCTGATTACTCCTCTTCTGTTATCTTAATTCGACCCCTAAATAGCTAATCACCGAGAAACGGTAATAATAGCTGTGTGAGGGTATTTTCGGCAATATGATTTAAGTGTGTGACAATTCAGTTTTTGCTGGCCTGGCTAAATCTTTAATATAATTTGCGGGATAAGTATATTTTTTTTTTAAAAATTTAAACTTGGTTTAAATTTTTTTTTTTTTTTAACTTTTTGTTTAAACTTTTTAATATTTACCCTTTTTCACAGCTGCAAGTAACGTGGCGGGCAACCTAGAATTCGCCGCCATTTATAAAATCGGTTTTGTACGTCTCTGGGTTTTTTCTGTTCTCGTTGTTTCTCCTACCGAGATATGCTTATATCACGCGCTTTTTATGTTTTAACACCTTCCTCAACCACGGTAAATTGGCCACTACTTTTTATTATTAAAAAAACAAAGATTTTTTTTTTTTTACTCTAGTTTTATCATTTTTATTATTGTTTATGCATTTTAGTCTTTATTTTATCACTGTAAATGAATTATGGGCGTTATAAAATTAGAAAACGAAACGCTTAGACCTCGTTCACTTTACGGATTTGAGTTTTCAATTCGAGTTGAGATGTGGCATTTTTTTAGAGCTTTTTACTATTCTATTAAAACAACCTTTTGAATTAGAGACAAAAGTTTTTTTTTTTTTTTTGAAGTGGAATTAGAGACAAAAGTTAATTCTCTCTCACCTTTTCTTTGCATGATTGCCTCCTTGTTATACTTGATTGTTTTTGCAAATTAAAATGCCAAAATTTTATGTTTTCAGGAGCAATCGCACTAATAAACTTAAGCTAAATAATTTATTATAAAATCAAATGGCTTGTAATAAATCATTTTAAAAAAAAATAATTTACGTAAAACAATTTAAAAAATATGATTGTATTTCACTAATAGATTTTGTAAAACGTTAAAAGAGATTTTACGGTAAAGTATATAAGATATACTTTACTAATTCTTTAATGTTAATTACAATTTTCTGCTCTGAAATTTCATTGATAATTTGACATAGAACGATAAGTAGGCTCTTTCAGAGAAGCTACCAATACTTTTTTAATTTTTTAAATATATAAAACCAATATAAGAATGAATGAAGGAATTTATTTCTGTTAAAGTAAACAGTGGCAAAGGAAGGAAAAGTAAAGTTTCTTTTTCTTCTCTTTTTTTTAGTCAACTATTTTTGCCGTTCTTGTTACAGCTTTAATTTCTGTAAAAAATCGCCTTTTTCTTTTTATTTTTTTTCCCTTGCAAAGCCTTTTTCAAGAATTTTAATTTTTTCGCATTGAAAAGGAAAAAAGCTTACAAATTTTCAGAGGCTTGTTAATATGCATCTCACCACATCTGCCTAAGAGCGCGTGTGGGTTTGCGTTTCCGTCAGATATAAAAATAAAATAAAATAAAATAAAATAAAATAAAAGGCCTTTTACCCGTTTCTTGCGGTAACATCTAACAGGTAATTTCTTACCCCTTCGAAAAGAAAAATTACTTTCCTTTTTATTTTTGGTTCTAGATTTTCTTTTTAATGTGAAGAGTGTGTCATTTTTAAGTAATATATATATATATATATATAAAACAAACAATTTCGTGGTATTTGTTTCCTATTTTCTTATTTCCTTTTTTTGTTTTTTTTGAAAAATAGAGAATTTCCTAGTTGATTACCTAGTACACGTGCATGCACCAAGGAATGCATACGTGCCCCAAATTTGTATTCAAACATATTAATCCGTGTATTTATATAAATACGATAAATTATTTTCCATACTATACTTAAACGTACCTAAATAAATAAAATGAATTACTTTCCACATTAATTAATTTCCTGATTTTTTTTGTCTAATTTAACCAAAATACCATGTTAATCTCAATTTCAGACGAGAAGGCTTTTCCATATGCGCAGGAAAAAAAAGGGAGGGAAAATAGAGTTGACGCAGCCTCTAACATTGAAGCACTACAATATAATTATCGAACTATATGTTAAAGTAACAAAAGTATTTTTAAGTAATTAGCTCGTTTGAATTTGTATTTTTCCCATCATTGACGGTTGATACAATATCGCTACGTGATATTTTTGAAAATTATATTTGGCACGACGCATGAAAGCTCCGAGAGCCAAGGAACTAAAAAGGCACAATAAAAAAGCACATAAGATAAAACACAAGACGTATTTGAAACTCGTTGTAAAATAATTTTATTTTTTTATATGAAAATAAAAATGAAAACGTTTTTAATTTCAGACATAAATCATTTTTGAAAATGCGTTTGGTAGTTTTATCAATAGATTGTTTTGAGTATAAAAAAAATTCAATAATGTCTCTCTTTCTCTCTCTATGCTCGAGAGAGAAGAAAACAAAAATAAAAAATAAAAAACGACTAATGTCGTTTTGAAAACGTTTTCATTTTTTCTTTCTCAAAAACGTAAAAAATAAAAACTAGATTAATGATAAACACGGCCACAGTTTCTAGACATTTTCCTGCTAGCCATAATGAAGTTGACTAGGAAGGTTAAAATTTCAAATTTTTTGACCAAAACTTTGATCGTCTTCAACATTTTCTTCAATATTTATTATTTTTATGAAGAATACGTAGTTGGAAAATCGGCTAAAATTGATGTTTGGCTAGAGGTAGGGACCCAGGTACCGGCCCTGTTTTGGTATTTCATAATTAGAAAAATAGAAACAATATACATAAAAACATTGGGTTTAAAACACTATATCAAACAAATAAGCCGACTTGTTTGGTTCTGAAATTGATTTAAATTTTCCCAAAAGCCACAAACTTGTACAGGGGATTTATTCGCGTTTGTGCAATTTTGCTGATCTGGCTTTCATCGGTCCTGCATAGTAGTAACTAGCTGTGCAGATCGACGTCTTTATGTGTCACCAAATGATTGATTGTTAGACTCTCACGATCACAGTTAGGTCAACGTTTTGTGTTTATCGCCAAAAATATGATAATATGTTCACATTTATATGTGTGTGTTTCCTTCTTTTTTTTTTTTTTGAAAAAAGAAACATAAATAAAATGATTTTTTTTTGGCTTTTGGGTTTATACATATATATAAATTTTTTTAAAAATATGAAAGGGATATAGAATATGTTAATTTTATTTTTATTTTCGAATATTTTGTGTTTATCGCCAAAATTATGTAGAATATGTATATATATATATATATATCATTTTTAAAAAAAAAAAACTGTATATATGTATATATATTTTGCTTTTTGGATTTGTATTACTTTTTTCCTAAATGTAAAAGGGAAGAATAGTTACCTTATAAATTTCTTATTATGGCTTTTTTATTATTATTTTCGAATATTTTGTGTTTATCACCAAAATTATGTAGAATATGATACATATATATGTATATATCATCTTTTTTTTTTTGAAAAAGATATACGTATATTTTTTTTTTTTTGCTTTTTGGATTCGTATTTTTTCCCTAAATGTAAAACGGATAAAGAATATATGTTATACCTTATAAATTTCTTATTATGCCTTTTTTTATTTGTTTTTATGTACTTTTTTTGTGTGGTCAAAACAAAAGCATGCACGTACGTGTATACATACAGACTGTAGAAAATATGTATATATATATATATATATATATATATACGTCTCCTTAATATTAATTGGCATTACCATTTGGTACTGCGGTTTGTCACATGAATTCACGGAACACATCTCTAGGACTAGGACACACTCTAAGGATGAAAACCACTCTGAAATTGCCGTACTAGTTTCTTTTGTGTGTGTGAGTGAGTGAAAACTAATAAGCTCTTGTCGGCTTGGTCGTGTATTAATAACGGGCTTGTCTGATTAGTTTCAGACAAAATAATTTACATGCAAAGTTTTACATATGTGCGGAGAGTTAAGACTAGTATAACTTCACTAGGATCTCTGCAACTTTTGTTTTCATGGGGAAAAAAACTATTTTAAGACTTTTTTTTTTTTTTTTTACTTTCTAGTTTTCTAAATGACTAGTCTATCTTCGTTTCTAAAATAAAATTTGGTAGGTAGCATTTTGTTTTTCTTATCCTAGCTTGCAAAAAAAAAAAAAAAAAAAAAAACATTTGGGGACCTTTTTAAAGAGAACATTTGGGAATATTTGTCACTTCATTTTGTTTTCCTTCGTTCTGAATTATTTTTTTTTTTTTTTGACATTGCTACTTTTTTACAAAAAGAACAAAAGAGAAAAAACAAAAATATATAGTATTTCTATATATCTATCCCCACCAAACTTAATATGAGACATACTTTTCTTAGGCCATATATATGTTTCTCTAAATTCTAATTCCTGCTCAAGTTGATAACTAATTTAGTAAAAGGAATATCCGGTTGTTCTTGTGTCTTATTTGTTAAATTGTAGTAGTGTTAGAATGACAAGTAAGAAGAAA